ATTTATTTATTTTTTATATATATTCAATATAAATATATTGTTTTAAAATATTTAATATATTAAATTATATTAATATTTTACAATATACATTTTTTTGTACTATATTTTTAATCAAATAAATGCAGCCTGGGTGAACATACTGTAAGAGACTTCTTTAAAAAATTTTTTTTTTTTTATTTAGAATTTTGAACGGTAGTGTGCTTTTTCCCAAAATTAGACTTTTGTTTTCCATCAAAACAGTAAACATTAAAATGGGCCAAAATATCCCTTAGACCTGCATTAAAGAACGCACAATACTGTGTCTAGAGACCTGAATATCATACCTGTGAGTAGACTTTTTTGTCTTGGGCCAAAGACAGCACTTTGCAATTTCAAAGAAACATCCTGGCAAGCACTTAACAACACCCTAGCTTCATGGACGAGAAGGCACTACTCTTAAGATAATGCAAAAATCTAGTTTTCTTTTGTTATCATGGACTTATAGCTTGATAAAGATGATTCAATGTGTTGAATGTCTGCATCTCTGCCTAAATTTGCAGCTTAGACCTAGAAACTATTATGAGGAGATACAAAAACAGCTGCAGTTGTGTATTTTCAGTGGGAAATTTGTTTGAGGACCGTCATGTCTGTGGGCTCCTTTATTGCGGTATTTTTGCTTAGCTGCTATCGCTGGCTCTTTTCTTCCCTCCCTTTCTTTCTCTCTCTCTCTCTCATTCTCCATCCTTTCTTGTTTGTAGAGATTGTCCTTGTTTAAAGCACTCATACATCACTCTCTCCCTTGCTCCTGTGCTGAAGTGAATGAGTGTGCTTTGCACCTTAGTGAGGCTCTGTTTGTAATGCTGGAGCTTTTTTTTGTTTGTTTTTTTGCTGCGTGGCTGTAATATGTTCTGTCATGAGAGATTCGAGACTGGTGCAGTAATCGTTGCTGATATGATGATAAAACCGCTCAGTCCAGGACCAACCAGGAACACTTATAGCTTCTCAGCCATACTGCTCCATACAGCATTAATACAGGTCAAGGCAAGGTCAGATGAATGTGGAAATGATTTTCTCTTTGCTTTTGTTCTTATTTATTAATTTGCTTGTTTTTTTTTCTCTGCATCTCTCCATCCATATACCACTCTTATTCCTGTGTTTGTAGTGTAAATGGGGGGTCCAAAGCTAGAGTCGAAAAAAAAAATACAGTTTCCACATCAGAGTTTTAATAAATAAATAAATAAAACATAATAATAATAATATTTAAAAAAACTGAAAAGATAATTAACCTTTATTTCTCATAATTGTGATTTTATCTTACATTTGCCACTACATTTATCGCTTGCATTTGTGACTTTATATCACAGTGTGACTGTTTTAAAATTAGTATTTATTATTACAGTTGTATTATTATTTATGATAACACTTTAGTATTGGGACCGATTTTCACTCTTAACTAAAGCACATATTCTGCATGACCATGTTCTACATCCCAAATCTTACCCAATACCCAAACTTAACAACTACCTTACTAACCATTAATCACTATTAACTATTAAGCAGCAAATTAGGAGTTTATTGAGGCAAAAGTCATAGTTAATAGTGTAGGGATTTCTATGCAAAAGACTCTCTCAGACGAACTTCGAGGCTCCTCCGTAACCCGGCAACCAACCAATCCAACGAGGGCTCTCCCAAAAGGACGTCATCCTGACGTCATCTCAGTAACCAATCAGCAACGGAATTTCCCTCCAGCAGCCAAACCTGGAACCCCGTTGCAACTGACTTCACAAACGCAAGTACAAACAAGGTCTACTATCCGCTGAAATAGGTGCTGAACCATTTAAGCAGTAAACATAAGACAAACCTCTGCTTTGTGATTCTCTCAGTTTGAATTTAAAACCACTCGTGAAAACGAGTTAGAACTTTGGGAACTTCTCAGAACTCCGTTAACATCATTTTCATTCTTCAGAACTGTATGTGTATGTGTGTGTGTGTGTATGTGTATGTCTTAGCTTAGGTCAGTGTAATTTAGAATAGCCAATAAATTCGTGTTTCCTTTATAAAGAAGTATTGTCTGGTGTCATGACATTTTAAAGTTGAACCTTGCCAAGATCTTGCTACCTAGCTCGTAGCGTATAACTTATCAAAGAACGTATTAACCCATGGCCAGGGAAAATACATATAGTCAAATTGTTAATATACACTGACATTAACGTCTCGCTGGACGAGTAGCTGATAAAGTGTAAAATATCGAATTTGAAATCAGTTTTAATCAGGTTGACCTCGAATTTTCAGATTCGATTCCTCTCAAAACCTGAGCTAGAAATAAAATTAATGATTAATTCCCTTATAAAGAATTAATGAGTTAAATTCCTTACAATAGTTTAATAGTGAGAACTGTATCTTAAAATAAAGTGTGACCTCATTTATTTGCATTATTTTGAATTATTTTTTATTTTTTTATATTTATCTTATTTTGTGTTTTACAAAATCACAGATGTGAGAAATAATATTGGACAATTCTGACTTTGTGACTCACAATTACTCATTTAATTTTTTGAAGCAGGCTTCCAGTGAAGGCCGTATTTGATAAATTTTCACTTTAAAATCAAAGTTTTAAGATTTTTCAAACAAAGAAAACTATTAATAATAACTGAATAAGATTCTGCATTATTTGTAGGTATCTATTCTAAAGGTGCCTGCCATTAGTCTTTTTTTTTTTTTTTATAATTTACGTTCAGTCAAATTGTTATGCTGATCATTTATACTTTAAAATGTCTTAAATCAAAGCATTTTTGCTTGTGGTTTCAGACTTTTGAACTCCTCTCACAGTCTGGATGGCGGTAAGAGTGAGTAAGAGAAGGACGGTCAGAGGTTGCATCAGTCTGATCAGGTAGATGTGCTGAGGTAGTGAAGCAGTGCAGAGCATTAAGTCAGTGTGACGGCTTCCCACAAGCCCCTGCGCCACATCACAGATCAGAGATTTAGTGCTGGAAAGGCTAGAAGAACAGCAGTGGCAATAAAAGGTGAGAGGTGACGATACTGAGGTGAGCGAGCGTCTACGTGTTCGCCTCTTTCATTTATATCGTGTTGTCATGCTGTCGGCTGCATCACTCTCCGTCTTCCTCTCTCATTTCTTTGATGACTTTAGTGCCGGCACGACCCATCCTCAAAGAGCTGCTAACTTTTATAAACGTTTTCATGAGAACCTGTTTTTTTTTTTCTCCCCATCTCTCTCCCTCCCTCCCATCTCTCCTGCAGAAAACATGAAGGCACCTCTGCAAAGGTCACGGTCGCGGCAGAATATCAATTTCAACTCGACACGAGCACCCACTGCCAAAGAGCCTCATTACGAGAGCGAACCCCATCCGTCTGCAGCCCACAGGCCGACCCACCGGGCCGAGAGAGAGAAGGAAAAAGAGCAAACTCCGACGCTTTGCTCATCCAATGGTGACACGGACGTGGAGTCCTTGCTCGCACGCCTGCGTGACCTGTGATGACATCACCACCTCTCGGGTTTGACCTCTGTAGTCACTTCGGTGACACAGACACAAAAAAGAAACACAAATCTCGCAGTCACCTTTTGCTAATAAATGCCGGCGGGTTGCGCACATACACGCATAGGAAAAGTCTTAACAATTAACCTTTCCCATCCGTCGTCTCTGCCCGTTTACCTCCAACAACAGACTTGTTGTCCACAGAAGTGCGAGTCATTGTGCTGGTCGGGTCCAGGATGAAAACTCGTCGCTGTTTTGTATTAAGCAGCTAATTACCGGACAGTTTAGAGTGACCTTTGGGCCAAGCACTTTTTTTATGTCGTAAACAGACCAATTATTACTCTTTAAAGGCTTCTTTAAGGCACTCATACATGCGTATTTTCACATACATAGATGTTTGAGCGATAGCAATTCAAATTTGTCAAATCTATTTTTCCTTTTCTGCAAAAAAAATAAATAATTAGCTTCTTTAATAACATAGCTATATCTTAAATGTTTATTATAAACATAAATCACTTTTTTCAGTGTGAATCTTCTTTACCTTTGTTTGTATTCATGTATATGCAATCAAATTAATCCTAAAAACAGTTTTAATATGCATGGAAATCTTTATACTTATGAGGAATTACTCACTGTTTTCTATTTTGGAGTTAAAAAAGAATGTATTAGTTGGGTTTCGTCCCCCTCAAGAGAGACGGTACTATGCAAGAGCAGCGGTTCTGTATTGGGAGAGCCGCTGACAGCAGATCCCTGAGTGCCAGGAATATTTGTACTGCTTAGCAAACCTCACTGATATAATGCACACTTCTTCTCTGCACATTTGTTCTTGGATCTGCTGCTTTTCCAAATAATGTTTCTTTTTTTTTCTTTTTCTTTTTTTTAGACATTTAATTTCTTTGGTTTCTTTTTGTGTTTGTCTGTCTTGCTGTGTGCAGGTGTTTTCTCGTTGTATAATTGGCATGTTTTCACATTCCTCCTCATGATGTTTTCTGTTCTGCTATTCCTGATGTGATTTTCCTCTTTACTGCTCTCAATCAGGCGTGACATCGGAATGCGATTACCTGTGAAATCACATCTCTTTCTCTCTTTCTCTCTCTCGCTCTCTCTCTCTCTCTGGACTTACTCCCATCACCTTTTTTGATTCTTTGAAACAACATTCCTGTTATTGGATAGACATTATTGCGGTGACATCCTTTGGTGAAATGTTTCAAATAAAATAAGGAAAAGAAAAACGATGCAGAGAACTCAGTCTTTTGTTTGGCTTCAAAACAGACGAATGTCAATTCTTTTCTTATTTTAATTTCGTTCCACTTACTCTCTCAGTCAGTTTCCCTCATTAAAAGGGTGCATATGTTCTAGTGCATCCTCTCATTCATTCAGAAATCGTATTTTATGCACGGTTACCTGAGAGTCCTGGAGAGATGAAAGCCTCTGCTACCCACAATCACACCGTTATTGTATTGTAAGTAATAATGAATGCTGTTTCCAAAGGTGTCTGTTCCAGTTTCATTAATCTACTTGAAATGGGGGAGGTGGGTTTGCCCCTTCACCACAGTAGGATGCTGGTGTTATTTGGGAATGCTGGTAATTAAAAGAATGATAGCAGGTAACTTGCTGCCTACCACATTCTTAGCCAGCATCATGTGAATGACTGAAATTGGCAGCAACTGCACATGGAATTCAGGTGCTTGTCATGTAAAGTACAGGGAAGCTATTAAATCAAAGAAAACATGACCCTGACAAATAAAATAAAATAATAAGTTTAGTTGGATACTACTTAATCAGAACTATTTTGACATGTACTTTAAAATTTAAAGTACATTTTATTCATCAAAGAATCATGAAAAATGTATTAGTTTCCACAGCAATATTAACGAACAAAACATTGATAATTATAAGAAGTATTTCTGGGTACCAAATCAGCATATTAGAGTGATTTCTGAAGGATCACGTGACACCAAAGACTGAAATAATGATGCTGAAAATTCAGCTTTGCATCACAGAAATAAATTACATTTTAAAATATATTAAATCATTATTTAAAACTACAATAATATTTTACAATGTTGCTGTTTTTACTGTATTTTTGATCAAATAAATGCAGCTTTATTGAGTGTAAAAGATAAAAGTAAATAATCTTGCCAACCCCAAACTGTAGTGTACATAAATGTATCCTAAAATATTGATCTTGAAATGAAAAAAAAAGGTTCACTTGCATGTTATTTGTCAACTATCCACTAGTACTGCTGCCTTAGAATCTGAATTACCTTAGAACAAGTTCCCTTAGCAGGCTGCATATTTTTACCTACATTTGGTCTTACATGCTTATGATGCACTCCAATGCTTTCCAGATAGTTTGCTCACTATCTTTTGCAACTGAGCTCAAATATTTGTGAATCGCCCTAAGCCACAGTTCGGATTCACAAAATAGATCACATAAAAGATAACATCGCCCAACGATAAAATTGAATGAGTCTGAAAAGAGGCCATATTGGTATTCTTTGAAACCAATAACCCAGAAAACAACATAATTGACAATAATCTCCACACCAAATCTCCATTTAAATACCCTGTGTACATGCACCACACTTTGCAGGTAAAAACAGACCCCACGGTTACCAGAGGATAAGAGCCCATCACAACAACAGGCCGCGTCAGTGTGGTCGAATAGCTCTTTGTGCCGAAATGAAATCATATCAGTTTGCATCCATGTCCTAAGCCACAAAGTCACACGTCCACTTTAAAAAGAACATCGATTCCTCTCCTCCACGCTTTTTATTTGCGTTTAGTCGTCCAAGACGTCAGGCTCTTTGCAGGCGGTGTGTGTAGTGCTGCCCTTAGTGGGATCACAGCTCCGGTCAGCACCACGGACAGCTCCAGCAAAAGCAATGCTAATGAAGCACGGCCTTCCTCGTTCCCCTGTGTATTAGCATCAGACAGGAGCTCACTCTCACCATCTCCCCTCCAAATGATCCACTGCCGCTGCGAGCGTAACCCCGAGAGAGGATGTTCTGTGCTTCTGTGTCCCGTGTTCTTTGCTCTCTGCTTCTTTATTTTTTATGAACTGCCTCTTTCTCTCACTCATCTGCTCTCGCCCTACTCCAAAACGACAGGAACACAAGAAATCACCCAATCCTGTTGCCTTTTTCCCAGCTTAATAGGACAAACCGGAGCGGCAGAGGATATGAAATTCTGCTCGATGTAGTTCTGCCCGAGTAGTGGCCAAAACTACTCCGTGAAGCAAACAAGATCATTCCTTTCCTATTTAATGCCTGCAGTCAGCTGGCTTTCCACAGGACGACAGGGAGATCAGAAGGGGTTAAAGGGTCACAGCCAAAACATTGGTTCTTCTTAAGACATTCTGCTTCGCGAACGAAGGTCAGGTGGGAGAGATTAAGGCTTGTTTATTTAGATGCATGTGTGTTGTTTCATACTTCTTTTGTTAATTATGCTTCAAATGACTTGAAATGGCTTTTTTATTGTTGTTATTACAGTATGTACTTTTTTCCACTGTGTTTGTGTGCTTTTTACAATGATGGTTTCTATTATTCTCTCCGTTATCTCGGCTATTGGATGTGAATCTACTTGACAGACGGTCCTCAATAACAATGTGAAGGTCTGGCTGTTCTCTAACAGTAGCAACCAAGACGAACACAGACTGTCCAACTAGAGAAAGAGAAACAGACATCTGTTGGTTTTTGAACACGCATTGATGCATCTCAAGCTGCCATCGCAAAGCCTTTCCTCCAGGCAATAACAAAAACAAGATCAGGAGATGGGGGGGGGTGCATTTTCTTTATTGAACAGTTGTGCGGTTGTGTGTATAATTTAAAGGGAAACAAAGCATATTGTGTGGCAGATTGCAGTCTGCTCGGGTTTAATTGGAGATAGGGAGAGTAAGGCAGATGTTAGGCAGAGTTAAGACCGTTAAACTCTGATTACTAGGATGAATCCTCACCCGACACCTCTTCTAGCATACAGAGACCAGTCTATCTATCTCAATCCATCCTGTGAGAAGACAAAAGTATTTTTATCAGTCCAACTCGAAAAAAGTTCTGTTTACAAAATGACGTTTTGACAGTGAGCGCGTCTGAGGATGAAAATAACTGGATTTGGCACAGTATGCAAGGTTAGTGACATCAAACCTGAGAGATTCTGAGATTTGTTCATATATGCATGCTTGAAATGAGAAATTATTCTACATTTATTGATGAGCTGCAGATTATCTGTTCTTTCTTTCCTCACCAGGTGACAAAGTGTGTGTTTATGTGCTTTAATTACACCGGGGTGGAGTGTGGTCGCTTCTTCATCCACTACACTAACAGGAACTTCAGGTCAGGAAAACTGTGGAAATTACTCCTGGCAAAACTAAGTAGCTCACCTCTCTGAATTCACCAGATTAAGAGAGACTGCCCTCCAAAGTGGACTCTCCCTCCTCTTTCCAGGGTTCCCACGGATCCTTGAAATCCTTGAAAGTTTGTGAATGTGAAAAAAAAAATTCAAGGCCCTGGAAAGTTTTTGAAAATAAGCATACATAGAGACAGGTCCTTGAAAGTGCTTGAATTTATTTTATGCAAGAAGTTTTCTGGAAAAAAATCCATATTCCCTCCGGTCCGCTAATGTGTTATTTCGCCAACACTTCGTGGCCATATTAGCTTGCTTGATTTACGTTAGTTACGCGCATTTACGTGTTACATAACTTCGTGGCCATATTAGCTTGCTTGATTTACGTTAGTTACGCGCATTTACGTGTTACGTTAAGTGTTTCCCCGCGTGAGGTACTTTGTGTTGTACGTTGCCATGACGTTCACGCATGCACGTATCTACTACGATGGTACCTCAACGTTTCACACACACACACACACACCGTTAAACATTGCAAAAATAGGCTGAAACATGATGCCTGGAAAATGCAAGTTTCAAGATATTTGGCTCACCAAAGAAGATTACAAAGAAAGGCTTCCCAGAGATGAAAACTGTAACAATGTATCTTACAAGGTAACACAATGTAACCTTGCTCTCACTTGAAATGTGTCCCCACATTAACAAGGTGGCCGCGGGTTCTTAAAAAGTCTTAAATGTCTTAAATTCAGATTCGATGGGTCTTAAATATTTTCCCAGTCCCAGTTACGCAAAAATTTCCCCAGTCTGACGGACCAAGTGGCTGTTTAAAGGGGTCATCGGATGCAAAATTCACTTTACAAGTTGTTTGAACATAAATGTGTGTTGAAAGTGTGTGTACACATCCACACTATAATGATAAAAATCCACCCAGTGTTTTTTTTTTTTAATCCCTATTTTAAAATCCCCTTTCTCAAGTGTGTTGGAAGTGTGTGTACACATCCACCCTATAATGATAAAAATCCACCCAGTGTTTTTTTTTTTTAATCCCTATTTTAAA